CCCCCCACCCCACACACCCCGCCCATGACTGCTGCAGGCTCTTGGCAGTAACAAAGCAAAGTGAAACTGAAACCTAACTGTCTGCTGCTCTCAGCACGACTTCTCACTCAGTGAAGCTCTTTTCAGATTCAAAATACCTTTGAGGAAATGTATTTTCAGGTGCCAAGTAAACTGCTTAGTAGCGCACACACAAACCCCCACCCGCCCCGAACGGGATGGGACAGAAGAAGGAGGAGGTTCTTAAAGAGACAGAGGCCAATTTCAAGGCGTTTAGAAGAGGAAGTGATGAGGAAAGTACGTTTATTTTCTATTTAAACATAAAAACAGCATTTTAAAAACAACTAAAGGTGACATAGATACTTTATTATGGTATAGTATTTAAATGTATGCCTGAGAAACACATAATATTGCCCCTTTAAATTTATATTTATCTCAAATCGTGATGATGCGTGCATCGTATTAAAATTGYACCTCTCTATATTGCAGAGTTCAAATAAATTTAGTAGCAAAAATAGTCTTCCAACTATACTTTTCCATTTTTTTTAAATCTTAAATTGATATATTGTGCGGCAGCTCACACACGCATACCGTACCTACAGAGTGTGGAAAAACCACAGTCTGCCTTTGTTAACATGGAATGGGTGAAATGAATTAACGGGGCCCATTTTATAAATAATGTGTTTTAAACTTTAGATTTGGGATAAAACATCGTCTTTTTAAGTAAACAGGGTCAAGTCTAATTCAAGTCTCAAGTCATTGGTGTAAAAGTCCAAGTAAARTCTAAGTTCATAATATTAAAGAGTCGAGTCTGACTTGAGTCCAAGTCATGTGACTCRAGTCCCCACCTCTGGCTTCTGGTCCAGGTGCTGCCAATCACCTGACATCACCAAGAAGTATTGTTTCAACACCGAAACAGTCTACCAAACACTAATTTACTGACTTTTTGTGCTAAGTTTAGTTACTATCATTTCTCATCAACAGATGACTGAGTTCAACAGCACRCAATATACATTCTATTAAATGTTTTGTGAAATTACTTAACTAGGAAGCGCAGCAACAGGAACTGTGTTTTTTGAAAATGTAGCGCATCATCCTGCTGCACGAAGACAACGAAGAACGTCACACGCAGACGTCCGGCTGCAGACATGTTGGACGTTTTAGAAGGTTTAGAAGTGCTGATGAGCTGTGACTGTATGACCCCCTCCCTGTGTGTCTTTGTGCAGGCGATATATAAGATGGTGTCCTCCGTCATGAAGATGCCTGAAGACGAGTCCACGCCTGAGAAGAGGACGGAGAAGATCTTCAGGCAGATGGACACCAACAGGGACGGTATGATTGTCTCGATTAACATTAATGATAAAACGATGGGTTTTCCTGAGCTGAGAGGTAAAAAGACGACTTGTAGCTTCTGCAAACAATCAAACGCCATCATTTTGATCAAACTAGAGCCACCTGTTAACGCCCACTATCAAAGTAATGCTTTTGAATTCTTTCARAAACTCAGCTTCAAAAGTATTTTACATCTCAGAGCCTGTAGGACATCAACTAACCAATAAATACAATTCAATAAACTCCCAACCTGCTCTGCAAAGACACATTTGCAGTTTTATAATATAAAAATGACAAAAAAAAGGTCAAATTCAAGCAAACACATTAAAAAAGTCACTTTAAAAGAACTAAATCTGTTGTCGTATGTGTTTGTGTGTGGGTAGAGAGATATAATACATGTATGTTTATTTTCTGATTTATCTGTTTTATCACATTATGCTCACTTTGACTTGATCTCTTTCCTGTATGTGTATGTCTTCTTGGTGATATCAATATGAATTGGGCTGATAAAACTTCCAAAGGCCTGAAAGCAATGTCTATAAACTTAGGGCTTCAAACAGTTAATTAAAGTACCAACAAGATTTGGCAAGACATGCA